CTACTCTGTCAATTGGTTCTCCTGAGGTCCTCCCAGGGAGGAGACACTTTACCAAGAATCCTAAAACTATACTTGCTTGGGAGACACGAATCCAAGGTTCACAAATTATTCCCCATTTGAGATAAAAAATGAAGGACACAAGAGACACATTCCATTACTAGAGTTTCAGTCTACTAGGCATTGGTTACTGAAAAGCCACTGAATAGTTGTCTTTTTCTCCCCTGCCTCCATCAAACAGCTGTGACTTGCTTTGGTTTTCTTCTATTTTGCTTTTTTAAATTTTTAGTGGTTTATTTATTCTTATTTTATATGCGTTGGTATTTTGCCTGTATCTGTGTCTATGTGAGGATGTTGGATCCCCTGAAACTGGAGTGGCAGACAGTTGTGAGTTGCGATGTGGGTGCTGGGAATTAAACCTGAGGTCCTCTGGAAAAGCAATTAGTGTTCTTAACTGCTGAGCCATCTCTCCAGCCCCTCTGGTTTGAGGTTTTTTAAAAAAGTGTTATTGTTGTTGTGGTGGTGGTTGCTGTTGTTGCTTGATCCTTCCAAGTAAACTCTTGCATTAGTATCCTGACCTAATGAACTAATATTTATATGCTCTGGGGTTCAGAATTAATCAGAGCTTCTACTCTTGAGCATGCCAGGGCTATGTGTTTAGTTTCCAGGAGGTTTAAGGTGCAGTCGGCAGGTGGGGCGCAACAAAAATTGTTTCTTCTGAAAAATCACAACCGGATGGAGAGTCACCCGCTGGGCATGGGCAGGGTAGTGGGCAACGTGAGCTGGATGGAAGTCGGGAAAGAGAAGCTAGACAACGGCCGCTGCTACAGCAGCCTCGGGTGGGCAGGAGTTGGGGGGAGAGTGAAATGGGGGGGGTGCCGGCAGGAAGTCGGAGGCTGCAGGCAGCTGCTTGTCTTGGTTTTGAAGGAGAGACCATAAAACAGCTCCCAGATTTCAAGAGGCTCAATGAAAGGGCTCCGTACTTTTCATTGAGACCCCTGACAACCAATTTGGAGCCACCAGGCCGCAGAGGGCCCCCATGTCTTGAGCTGTGGAATTGCAAGAGGGGTCCCAGTGCTTTCTTTCACGCCCTGCACCTCTGCCCCAAGCCTGGGGTAGTTAGCATCCTTCACAAAAGACAGGGATGCAGGGCTCAAGTGCATGAACTTCTAGGCAACACTTTTTTTTTTTAAGCATGACTAGTAAGCAGCACGGAGGAACACAATTAACATGGCATCTTTTAGGCCATTTCCCCCTTCCTGATCCTAGAGTGTCTGACTTTAAGCATATAAGTTATATATCCGGCAGAGCTATTCCATTCATGGTACGCTGGGACTAAGGACACACAGGTGATTCTCTGGGACTAGAGACACACAAGATGTACAGGTCTAAGGCTAGAAGAAAATATTTAGTGCTTGCCTCCAGATTCTGTCACCCATCATCTGCTCTTAATGCGTTCCGTATCTTTCAGCGTGTCCGGCTCTTATGATTGTAAATGGCCCTGTTTTCAAATGGAAATAAGACTTGCAAACTGATTGTGTGTGTTGAATCAGAATCACTCACTAGATCCTCTTGTTTAAAATGTATTGAAGAAAGGCTGATGGCTGCAGGCCTCCGTAACCAGCGCCCTCCTTTCTCGGGAAGACCTATCTGTTTTGCAACTTCTTGCCATCTGAACACGTTGCAGGCAGATAATTATGTGACCATTGTGTGACGGCTAAAGCTCACACACCATCCCCGGGGCTCCTCCCAGCCATCTCCAGAACAGCCCAACCGCCATTAACCCTTAAACCGCATACACCCGCCCCAGCACTGGGGAGTCGTCACATTTTGACCCATCGTACCTCGCCCCTCTCAGATGTCATAACTAGGGAAGGAAGCCCACACTTTCACAAGGCACAGGTGTTCTTACCTCTCCTCTGTTCCCCTTCTTTCCAGCCCCCTCTCCTCTTTTTCCATTTTGCCAGAAGGCAAAAACAAATACCAATTAGTTCCCAACTTTCGGAGTCATACAACCGGTAGAATCTGAATCCTAAGCCATGGCAAGATTTTTTTTTAAACAACTAATTTTGTGTTCCTAGGGCATTTCCATTGTTAGAAAGGGTTCCTACTGAAAGGTTAATGTTCCGGTGTTTGGATACCACCCCGAATCTTAGTGTTTTCTTCTTTTCCCCCATCTAGTGCTACATGATAGCCTATTGCTGAATGAGCTGCTGTTTGTCAAGTATTTCCAGCATATTTTTTCCATTTAGCTTTAGTATGAGGGAGGGAGATAGACTCTAGGGTTGTCCAGGAAGACCCAAGCGTTGCCTGTTCTGTCAAATGTGAGTATGATATAATGTGGCACTTTCAAAACTGACTGCACCCATCCTAGCCCCAGCATGGTAGCCAGGGAGCAGCAACTGAGGGACGAGCAATGCTGCAGGCTGATGGCAGTGCTAACCAGCCCTAACTTCTGGCTGGCTGTCCAGAGATAGGGATGTTTGCACGCTTTTGATTCAGGGTTGCAATTGTGAGGCACAAAGTCGTGGGATGGAATAAGCTGACCGTATTCAGCCCTCCCACCTCCTATATTCCCCACACAGGCCTGCGGGACCTCCAGGCACCAAGGAGTGGCCAGGTCTGGAGAAACAATTAATCTCCTGAAGCCGCCTGTCTCTGCCAGCCTGTTTAGAAACATGACTCTCACAGAAGCAGCCATGGGACTCTAACTTTCTGGACTAGGCAGGAGAGTCAGTTCAGTAAATATGTCTGGATCTCCTGAATTAGGGCATAATAAGCCAGCAGCTCAGAGGGACCTTCCCTGGATCATTAAGGGATTTCTCAGGTTTACAACTCTGTGCACACATTATGCAGCATATATACTAGGGAGGTTAGGTAAGTCAGTAGCATGCAGACCAAATAGAAACATGTTTCTCTAGCACTTTGGAAACCTCAAGCAACATCGTTAGGAGTTAGAAACTGAAGGAAGGTGGTGTTTCTGGGTGATTTCCTACAGAATCATTTCAGTACACAGTAGGTTGTGGGGGGAAAGGGCCCCCAAGTATTGCTTCTCATTATATGGGGGATAATCTCTCACACTTTGGAAATAAATTTCAACAGCAATCACGGAAAGGCCTAGAAACACTATGCTTACCAGTCCACCAACAGCCTCTGCCACTGTAAGAGAGAAGCAGCTATCAAAGACAAGATTTCCTAGATTGTGGGAGGCAAGGGTAGGGCAGACTTTGCCAACAGCAAGCAGACAGTCTCTCTCATTTCTATGAGAAATGGAAAGACCAACATAGAGAGGCCATTTGATATAAATAAAAGGCAGAAGTGTCTCCTTTGCATTGCTTTGGTTTCGTTATCTGGATGGTAGTATTCTTACCAATTCATCTTTGAGTAGACATTGCCAGCCCAGTAAGAGAATACAACTTTTATTGTAGCTTGCCACAAGATGTGTTGTACACAGATATGTCTCATGCACCTTGATAACAAACGGTGGTACCTCCCCATGCAAAAGTCATCTTTTAGAGTTTCACATCACAAGAAAAAATATATAAGGATATTTTTATTTATCTTTAAGGGAAATTCAATTTCATTTGATTTCTTAATTGAGGTAATAGATTCATTAAACTTTCTCTAATCTAAGTAATATGTTCTGTAACACCCAGTTCTATAGTTGAATTTTTCTCTTAGAAAATCTTTTGAAAAGGTACATAAAATCAACACATGTGTGGAAGATATACACATACATGTCTATGTATACATACATAAACATCTGTACACACATCTGTACTTACATACAGAGTTGGTAGAACAGATATGACTCCTTCTACTGGAGGAAAGAGCTCACTTGCTAAGTTCTAGCCCTGACAATACTTGTGTTTAGGTTTGTATTTATCTTTCAGGCTTGACCCAACAGTGACGAACTTAGACTGAAATGTCCTACCAACAACCAAAAGAAATTAAATACGAAAATGTACTGAAATCGTATCTAAAATTCTTCAAGAAGTCTTAGCAAGGACGAGAATAAAATTTCTAGGAAGTAGAAATAAAACGGTAACTTATCAAAAAGAGAGAGGATCGGGAGTGTACTTAGATATCCTTCAAGCTGGCGTTAGGTCACTGTGGAAAAGAAACACAGACACCATTTCAACTACCCTTTCAGTTGAGGCAAAGGCTGTGCTGTCTTACTGAGCCAGCTCTTCCTCCATTCCTTCAAGACACCAGCAAAGAAAGTTCAGAAATGCAGATATGTGGGGTGAGGGTGAGGTTCCATGCAATCTTTGACCCACCCCTTCAACAAAATGCACACTTTACTTCCAACCATACCAATTTCCTGAGATATCGGGGTGGCTGGAAAGAGGCCACACCTTACGACAGCCCCTCACTTGAAGAGGCACCAGAAAACTTTTTGTTGAGCTAGGTTTTCATACTGGGTTGCCACCGAAGGTGAGCTGAAGCCCCCAGGAACACAACCGTACAGTGAAGCATACACCAGTCAGTAAGATAAGAGAGGGCTGGGTGAAGGTGATTTCAGGCATCTCCGAACAGGCTCAGCAAGAAAAAGTCCCCATCTTTTCCAATACCCTTAGGCCACTTCGTTTTTGAAACAAGCTAGCAAACGGCGGAAGAATCATGTTATCTCAGATCCATATTTCCCAACGGGCTTTCTATTCACCACTAATAAAACTGTCTGCTCACCCAGCTTCACACTAATAACTGGGGAGGGATGGGGAGGAGGCGGGGAAGCAACGCCCAGAGAGACTGGAGACTTCGGATCAGGATTCAACTCCCTCAACTCCCTCGTTTATAGAAATGAATGTCTGCCTGGCTTACTTAAGCTCGGGAAAGGGGTCAGCCTGTATCAGCACGGTTCACACAGATTGTGGATTTTTTTCCCTTCCCTTATCTTAAATTGACCTGCTTTTAAGATAAAGACATAATAGAGAAAGCATTGACCTTACCTGGTCCCTAATGAGCTGGAAGTCAGAAACCTCTTTCTCATTTTCTCTTACCTGGGATCGCCTGAGAAGAGATTCACGCATCTGCTCCTGAGCGCTCACCGCCGCCCAGACTCCCGGCAGCGCGAGGGGCGTGCGGCCTCTTAAAGTCTGCGAATCTTCCTGGCCTTTTAAAACCAAAGACTATGAAGCCACATCAAAGAATCGTCACTGGAGCTCCCAGGTCCAGACTCATTTAAAAGCTCTTGGAAGACTCCCAAGCAAGTCTTTCCCTATAAAAGACCAAGTCCTGAGCAGTGGCAGGAAGCGCTGTCTCCTGGAGGCCCTGGTCGCCTGAAGACTTGGACGCCGCTGTCTTGATGCTCGCTAAATGGACCCGGACCCAGCTTACCTTGCTCTCGCCGGCCCCAAGCTATTTCCACCGGGTTGCCCCCTACCCATAGTATATGCCCGTGAGCTGGGACATTTCTGTCCCCCTGGCCATGAGGACCCCAATTGTATTCAATGCCACAGCATTCCAGAATCCCTTCCTTCTCTGCTCAGGGCATCTCTGTGCTGTTGTTTTTGCCTCTTCTCTGAGCCCAGCACAGTCCACTGCCCGCCAGCTGAGAGAACTGCTTCCCCTACTCCTCGGCCCCACAGCTCGGGGTTCCCAGGCTGGGGCGGGGGTGGGGAGCCGCTTTGGGATGCTAAACATCAAACAAGCCAAGCCTGGGGTTTCAGGCCCCGACGCCACTAGAGCGGCTCTCCAGGGCTCTCGAGAAAGTCCTCGTGTTTACATGGCAGGGTTGGGGTGGGGTGGGGGAGAGGAGCAATGCTGAGGATGCTGTCTGCAAAATACCCCCACTGCCTGAACCATCAAGGCCTGGAGTTGGGTGAGGTACTTGTCAGGGGACAGTTTCTAGGACAAACGTCCTATAGGCTCACTGGTGAAGTTTTTCCCTCTTCTAACATCTCAGTGCCAGGGGCATCTCCGGAATACGTATTTCTTCTCCTGGGAGGCCAGAACCAACTTGAGCCTGAGTTATTGAAAGCCTAAAACAAGCAAGTGCCCCTTCCAGATGCTGACTGGGTAAACAGCTTGTGTAGAAGTGGGGTGTCCCCGAGTTGTGGGGAGCGCTCATCTTGAACCCCGGCACCTAGTTTGCTAAAAAGACACCCCAGTCTGCCTCCCCAGATTGCTTCAGCAGCTGCCACAAGTCCCCTAGGCAGGAGTTGGAGGAATCAGAGAGATTGATGATAAAAAAGGGCCAAAGCCCTGTTTGTTGGGTCTCATTCCCAGCCCCCTCTGAATTCACCTATTCCAGGGACAAGTAAACAGGCTTCTAACTAAGCCGGCTGGAGAAGGATGTATTTGTTAGATACTCCAACTAGCATAAGGAAGATAAGACAGAGAATGTTACAGTAGGCTCCAGTTGTTACTCTGCTAGAATGTAGGGAGGCAGGGCAGTGTGGAACTGGTTGAGTTAAATTCATCCCCCCAACACCCCCACTTAGGAGCAGAACATCAGCTGCCAACACCTGCCTTTTCTGGACAGTCACCACTGCCGTCCTTGTCCCGGAATCTCAGATGCCTATCAAACAGAAATGATTAAACTTTCCTGGTTTTGTTTTTGCAAAATATGAAGTCTGCTGAGAGGACCCTCTCCCCCCACGTAGAATCTCAGCAGACTCAACCAATTATCCTTTCAGAATATCAGATATCAAGAAGCCATATTCCAGTAGCCAGGATTAGTTTTCTAAGGAAGAAAGCTACTCCTAGCTCCCATTCCTAAGGCCCTGTAAAACAGAAATCCCCTGCACATCAGTGAGAAAGACTGCTGGATTCAAGTTTATACTATTATTTTTCTAAAAACAAGATCCTGGGAGATTGATGGAGTGGAGAACCAGGAAAAGTTGTTAGAGGCTTATGACAGGGAGGAGAGGAAGAAAGGAGGGAAGAAGGGAGGCGAGAAGGGGGGGGGAGTAGTTGAACACCTGAGTAAAAAAAAATGAACAGAACACGTGCCAAAAGTTAACCAGTCACCACCACAAACCGTTGCAAGCACCAGGGGCACCCAGGGCTGCTAGGGTTGCCTATGGACAGCTCACGGGCTGCCTTGTCTGCACAGGTTTGTCAGGGGGAACTCATAAAAAGCAACAGTTCATCCAAGGAGCTGTAGTTTCTGTCCGGAACCACTCTTTTACCACTACCGCCCACACCTGTCACAACCTGACTTGTTTCTCCCAGAACACTATCTGGTAATGGAAAGAAAAAAACAATCACAGTGTGTGTGTGTGGGGGGGAGTTTAAGATGATCTTGGTTCTGTTTGGGGGGAATTGATAAAAAGTTAGGGGTAGGAGAGGGATTCATTGCTGCAAAGATTTAAGACCCCAGATGTTGAAAGCACTGAGATACAAGAGTGAAAGGTCAAGTCCCAATGTCCTACTAGAGGGATCCCTAACTTGGCCACCAAGTCCACACTGCCATAAGACGGAGGATCCACTGGGATGGGATCGGGAGGAGGTAGCGGGGAGGGATCCTGTTTTAGACTGTCCAAATAAAGTCAAAACCACGTCACCCTTGGAAACAGGCACGACACAGATTCTAAGTGTGAGGAGACTGGGTGAGAGCTACAACTATAGGTTTGGCATCCAAATGTACAGAAACAATTCATTCACTAAAAATGACAGCTCCTTCAGGCTTCTTTCAAATGACTGGCTTGGTCCACCATTTTAATTATTAGGTCAGATGTGTAAGACCAGCTTCTGAAGCTCTTAAAAAACAGAAGGTTGACTCTTAAAAAAAAAGGCCATTGTTTTTTCTCTCCCCCCCTTCTCTCCCTCTACCTCCCCCTTCTACAGAACTAGTTTACTTTGCATCCTCTCTATGTAATAGTCCCAAGACTACTCAGGATTTTATTCCACTGAAGTTCAAAGCTGAACAAAATCCCCTCTTTGGTGGGATAGAAACTCCGGAATTAGCTTTTTTTTTTAACCTGGGTCAGAATCTCTGAGCTCAAACCCAATAATTGGGATCCCATCATGCTTAGTGGTGAGCCCCTACCCCCACCCCCAGTCCATGCACAGCCAAATCAAAACCAAACAAAAAGAAAGGGTTTTAATCAGAAAAGGCATCTTTTTAATTCGTATAATTTATTAGAAGCTTCTTAGGAACTATATTTAAGCCGAATATCTACATAAGTTACAACAGAAAAAAAAAAACCTGATGCTGCAAGTACCAAACTGCCAAATAATATACACAGGTTTGTCAATGCCCTTTTTAAAAAGTGAGGGGCCGGGGGCCGGGACTGGGCTTCTTTTTACAACGTAATGTACAGATTACTAAAAACTAGGCATTTAGTCCAACTTTTGACAGCATTTTACAGCTACATGTTCACATCAAACCTAAAACAATTTCTGAGGGACCAGCCTGGCCTGGACTGAACCTATAGGGCCAGAGGGCGGCCCGGGAGGGGGCACTTCCTTTGTGTCAAGTACAAGTGGGATATGCAGAAGAATCTTTCCCCTAGCCAGCTCCTGTCCGTCTTCTCCCTTCTGGGGGAAAAAAATCGGTATTTACAAGCAAGTCCGCTTTGCTGGCAGAGCGCATCCAGAGGGAAGTTTGCCGTCTTTAGAGTCCAGGGCCATGGTAGCATAGAGCAGGCTCCAAAACTGTGCCATGCCCAAGCTTGGGAACCCATTTGAACCACCAGAAAGACTTCTCCTGTTTGTTCTACGTCCTTCTCTGTTTAAAAAATCCGTAAGGGGCTGAGTTTGCTTGGCTATTTCTATTTTCGTTTTATGTTAAAAAATAATCCACAAGTTTTAGGTAGGAAAGAGAAAAGGAAGGAGGGAGGAGGGAGGAAGAAAGAAGGAGGAAAAGAAGAAAAGGAGGAGGAAGGAGGAGAAGATGAAGGAGAAGGAAGAAGATGAAGAGAGGAAAGAAGAAAGGAAGAAGAAGAAGAAGAAGAAGAAGAAGAAGAAGAAGAAGAAGAAGAAGAAGAAGAAGAAGAAGAAGAAGAAGAAGAAGAAGAAGAAGAAGACGTCCAGCAGTTTGGTCTTTGTGTACTTTTTCCTTGGTCTAAACACAAACAGGTTCTTAAGAAAAGTCGAAGCACGTGGAGCATTGGGCGAAAGGTGGTCTGTGGCGGGCAGAGGTGAAGCTGTGAGGCCGCGCGGGGCTCTGGCGGGTCCCACGTCTCACCAGGTCCGACCGTAAAGCAAGGTAGAGCAGGACATGGCGCCATAGTCCGAGCTCGAAGAGTTCAGATGGGATAGGCTGGAGACCTGGCCCTGCAACGCTGCGGGGCTGGCTGCATGGTGCGCCAGGTCCGGGGACTGGCCTGCGCTGCCCGGCTGGTGGCCTGGGTGTGCGCCTAGACCCGCGCCACCGCTGCCCACAGAGATGGCCGCGGCAGCCGCCTGAGCCGCCTGTGCCTGCTGCTGAGCTTGCTGTTGCGCGTGGCCTTGCAGGCTGGCGGCGCCCGGCGCAGAGGCTCCCGCTTGGCAGGGTTTGCCGTCTTTGACTAGGACCGGCACGGCCACCCGGCGCGGTGACTGCTGCTGAGCTTGCTGCTGTTGTGGGCAACCCGCGCCCCCTCCGCCGCCGCCGCCGCCGCCGCTGTCCTGCTGCAGTTGCTGCTGGGCTGCCTTGTCCTTGGCCTGGCGCTTCATCTTGTAGCGATGGTTCTGGAACCAGATCTTGACCTGCGTGGGTGTCAGGTGGATCATGCTGGCCAGGTGCTCGCGCTCCGGAGCCGACAGGTACTTTTGTTGCTTGAAGCGTCTCTCGAGCTCGTACACCTGCGCCTGGGAGAAGAGCACCCGGCGCTTCCTGCGGGGCGCACTAGGCAGCGGGGCCATGTTCTTGCTCACGTCCCCCAGCGAGCCCAGGCCGCCCATGCTGCTCATATTCATGCCGCTCGCCGGACCCATGAAGCGGGAGACTGTAAGCGACAAACGCACAGCGTCGGCTGGGGCCGGGGCCGGGCCAAGCCTGCTTTTCTTGCCCTTGGCCCGCCGGCCCCAACCTTCGATGGCATCCTCACCTTGGCCCATCTAGCTGGGGAGAGGCTAGTGCCTTCCCCGGGCCGGGCCGTCGAAGAGTTTATGGGTTTCAAGCCTAACTACTCTTCGTCGGTGTTAGTGTCTCTTTAGAACCAGAATGTACAGTGTGTGTGTGTGGGGGGAGGTTGCTTCTGCTCCTTTCGTGCCCAAGCCGGGTGGGAAGCCCGGGGTGGGGGGCGCAGAGAGCTGGGAATGCGCGGTAGACCCCAACTTCAGGGGGTAGCAAAAGGGAGTTTTCCCTTTCTAAAGCCCCAGCTTCCAGACGCTTGGCCTCAAGTCTTCTCTCTCGTGAGCGCTAGGTGAGGACACCTGCTCGCTCAGCCCATTTAGCTGAGCTGTGCGCCCTCCCAACCCGCCCAGAGACTTCTAGAAAGCTAGGCAACCAGGCTGGCGCTGGGATGCGACCCAGCAGGATGGCCTCTCTCCTGGCCTGGCCTGCTTCCCTCCAACTCCGCTGACCCGAGCTCTCAGCTCAGGGTGGGCCTCCCACGGCACGCTGAAGTCTTCCGCGCCTAGTCAATAGTTGGCACTTGCGGTTGCTGAGTGCCAGCACCTATCCGCAGGACCCCAGCTCTACTAGGAACCTCTTTTGAAACCCTAGCCCAGCGGGGGGAAGAAGGTCCAGCTCCCGCACCCCACTCCTAGACGATGCTGCCCGGCTGCCCACCCCATGCCTAGCATAACTGGCGAGCGCCGCACCTCGCGGGCCGCAATGACCGCGCCTCCTGTGCTCAGCCCGCGGCCCCGCGGCGGGGCGGCCTCACTTACTGGCCGGGAAGCGCGGGTCTGGGTTGGCGCCGTACCATCCGGGCCCCGAAGCGCTGTTCCGCATGGTGTCCTGGTAAGGAGGCAGCTCGCTCATGTTGCCCAGGTTGCCGTTGCAGTAGCCCCCAACAGCGGAGTGCGAGAGCTGGGGCACCCCCGCCGCCGTCATGTGGTAGGCGGCGGTGACGGCGCCGTGGTGCCCCACGGCGTGCTGCTGCATGGCCGCGGCCGGCGGGGCCGCCTGGCCCTGTCTGTAAGCTGCGAGCGGAGCCCCGAGGCCGCCGCCCTCCATGCCTACTTTCTTGTAGCTTTCCTCCAGGGGACTCAAGATGTCAGACACTGAGAACGGAGTCGTGTGCTTTGGACTCATCGACATGATTCGGCGTCGGCTGGAGGAGGAAGGAAGAGGAGGAAAAAAAAAAGGGAGAGGGGGAAGGCGAAGCCTCGCTACTTTTTTTTTCTCCCTTTGCCAAATATTCTGGTGTTACCTTAACGCCGATCTTGTTGGATGTACACGTAACGGAGTGGACCGAGTCCGCCTTAATTGGCTTGAGTGGAGGCTCGGGGGCTGCCTCGCGTTTGTTTTAGCCCGGCGCCAGGTTTTAGGCAGCCACCAGAGGCGGGGCATAAGCGCTAAAGCAACAAGACAATAGAAGCCTACATCTTGCCCGAGATAATTAGCTTACATGCTGATGACAAGGTAAACACCTTTAAGCTTCACTTGTCAGGATTTTTAGGTCTCAAAGAGAGAAAGGAGAGAGAGAGAGAGAGAGAGAGAGAGAGAGAGAGAGAGAGAGAGAGAGAGACCCAAAGCATTACTTCCCCCCTCCCTTGGACACCCCCACCCCCATTTTTGTGGGGTGCCTGTGGCGCGCGAGGAAAAGGCGGGGGAGGGAAAGGAGGAGGGAACCGAGAGCAGAGCGGAGGTCCAGAGGTGGGGTAGAGAGTAACCTAAGAGGAGGGATGGAAAGGAGGAAGGAAGGTGAATGCTGCTTTGCAACCAACTTGAGGAGTTACAAAGTGGAACCCGTGGTCCAGTTCGGTCGGGGTTCCCGGGTCAGGGGCTGGTCTTTGGGGGGAGAGGAGGTTGAGGTACGGGGAGCGGGGTTTCACCTGTGCCTGACGGGGCTGCTCCTCCCTCCCGCTGCGGCCTCCCAGCCCCGCGCCTTCCCACCGCCTCCGGACCACATCGGGCTTCGCAGCGCTGAGCCCCAGGCACCACCAAAAGAGTGTGCGAGTCTGGGGGGGGGGGATGAACCCGGGGGCTGCACTGTTGGTCTATGAGTCTGTCAGTCTGTCCGCCTCTTCTGCCGCTGTCAGAGGGACACCTCTGCTCCCCGCCCCCTTTCCCCTTACCCGAGAGAATCCTAGCGGGCGGAGGGGGAGCTGAGTAAGGGAACGACTGCCTCCGGGAGGCTGACACCGATCCCCGCGCCCCCCACCCCCCCAAGCTCCTGGCTTCTTAGCGGACCAGCCCCCCAGCCCACCCCACCCCACCGCTCCCTTTCTCCACCCCTTTTGCCGGCCCAGGCAAGAACACCGCTGGCCTTCTGAGCAGGGAGGACAAGGGTGCTGGCATTAACGTGAGAGTCCACCACTGAAGTTGTCCCATCTCGAACAAACCTGATGCCCCTGACCCTTGCCCATGGCCTGGATACTCCGGCTTCTGAGGCTGGTGCTGACTTTTCGAGACCATGACAGCCCCAGCACTCCAGCCCAGATCTCCGCTGCGTTCCCTTCTGGTGCTTCAGGGAGAGCCCGGGCAGGCAGCCGAGCGAGCGCCCGCGGGTCCGTTGTAGAGTGGAACTGAGTCTGAACCCGGGTGGAACTCACTGTCCGGGAGGAGGCGAATATCTCGACGCCCGCATCCCAGCGGGCGGGAGGCTGGGCTGAGGCTCGCCTCCTCCCGGAGCTCAGCCATGCAAAAGTGCACTCGCTTCCCCGGGAATAACCAAATATCTTTGTCTAAAGTGGCGGCGTAAATGGCCGGTCGCTTTGTGGCCACGCTGGATATTAGTAGATGAGGATCATTCTGCTTCAATTGGGCGCCTCTCATCCGGCTAGCAAGAAACTGCTTAGGAGGAAGTGGGTTTCCTGTCTGAGCGTTCCCAGGCTTCAAGTGTGAGCCCCGCGCCTTGAGGGTCCTTGGGCGCCTGGCAAGGGGGAGCTGTGGGCTGTGCTCCCTAGCGGGGCCGGGGGCGTCAGCCTCATTGCTGTTACCAGGCCCGGATCAGCAGCTGAGTGGGCTACCCAGCCAAGCCCTGCGTGACACGGATTTGGAAACCACCTCCGATTTTCTCCTTGGAAATTAAGCGTTTTCGTTTTTGTTTGTTTTTGTTTTTGCTTTGTTTGTCTGCTATTTGAGCTTCCTTGGCGTGCTAAAGGCTGGGAGGGCGGAGCGCTTCCTGGCCCCGCAGGTGCCTCCTAGACACTTCGGCGGCCAGTCAAGGAGGCTTCTTGATTTTGGTTTTTGTTTTCACATTTTCTTTCCCCTCCTTGTAGTGAGGGAGTTCCCGATAATGAAGAAGCAGTTTTGAACTACTTAATTCAGCGTAGGCTCCTTTCCATTAATAGCAATTATAGTATGGAAAGTTGTTTTATTTGCTTTTTAAGATCTCAACCCTCTCCTTGAAGAGAGCTCTCTAGTCCCTCAGCACAAAGCCAACGACTCTACTAACATTAGCTTTCCTCACCACCTACCTCCGTCGCGAAGGTTCTGAGCACCCGCGGGCCTCCCATCTGGGCCGGCATTTTTCCGCACGGCCCCCACGGTGGCTTTGGAGCAGGCAACCCTGACTTTAAGCGGGCAGATGCTCTGTGTCTTGTGTAGCTAAAGGCAAGTGGAAAGCTGAGCTCTGGGCTCTCCTTTCTCAGGGACTTCTCTGGGGGGCGCTCTCAAGATGAGCTCAGACCCCGTCGACAGCTCTTTGGTCTAAGGTGTCTAGAGTGCAGGGATGGGAGGCTATGCCCGGATCAAGTGAACCGCGGGAGGAAAGCAGACCTTGTCTGAAGGCATGACCCAGCCCTGCCAGTCTTAGGAATGGGGTCTTAGTAGAAAGTCATTGGCAGCCTGTGTCCCTTTAGCTCCTCTATTTTTATAATTGTTGGTCGTCATAAGAAGCACCAAGTGTAGTGTCTCTCTCCGTTTCAATGCCACTTACCGAAGGAGATCATTCTCAAAAGGTTATTTTTATTTATTTATTTATTTATTTATTTATTTATTTATTTATTTATTAGAGTTAAGCTAAATCGGGCGCATCAAAACACGCCCAAAGCTTTGAGGGGAAAAAAAATATTAAGCGCGCTGCTAAGGTCGATATTTCAGTTTCTGCAGGTATTATCAAATCTCTTGTCTTTTCAGGGGCCTGCCAGACTGAAGTGAAAGGTTTGTTTCCCTCTTCCACAGTCTCTAGGTCACACAGCCTAGGCCTTCAGGAACACTAGCTGGTGGCCAGTTTGGGAAAGTGTGAAGAGCCTGGTTTTAGCTCTACCACCACTGGGGACCCCATTTCCAACTAGACAGCTAGGGGTGGGAGTTGGAGCTGGAGGGGTAAAAGGGTCTGGCAGCCGCTGTGGCTTTACCCTTGGCGGGGGAGGGGAACTGGGCTGAGCTCCAACCTTCCCAAGCTTGCACCACCAGTTCCTATCTGGATGTGTGTGTGTGTGTGTGTGTGTGTGTGTGTGTGTGTGTGTGTGTGTGTGGAGGTGGGTGGATGGGTGAGGTGGGATTCTGCAGCATCCTGTGGCCCAAACCTCACGATCCTGGTCTCTTCCTAAACACCCACCTCTCTGCATTATTTTCCCTAAGCACTGGCACCGATAAGGGCAAAACTGAATACACAGGAGCCTCATGGCACAAAAAGGCCCTGTATTTATTTCTGAGCTCTTCTCTGCAAAGGCCTTGGGAGTCTCTCCCTCAAGTCCCAACATCTCTTTCCAAGGAAAAAGCGTGCTGCCTCTCTGACTCATCTTGCGTAGGGCCCATGCGAGTTAAACCAGAGGGCTTTCCCCCTGTAGCTGTGGATTAATATCCACAGATCTAGTCTTCTTCCCATGGCCTCTTCCGCACTGCAACTAACGTGCTGTCAGTGGGCTGAGCCCAGTGACTGGTAGGACATAGCCCAGCCCTTGTGAACCTTCCCCTGGTTCAGCCTCAAAGGACCACGTGAATCCCACTGGTTAGAATTCAAAGAGCTGTGGAGGCTCGAGCCCAGGCTCAACCCCAGAGGAGCAGAGGAACCTCTACTCTTTGCAGCAGTGTGGCAGAGGGAAACTCCCTTCTTTTCCTCCACTGTCTTCGGAAGACCTGGAGGGAGTGCTCACTGGGCAAATTAAGTGAAATTCTCAATTTTTGGAGCTTGGCAAGCTAGGAAGTAAGGGAGATGATTCCCAAACCAGAACCGCGGACACCTAGATACTCCTCAGCTTGCTTGTTTCCTACTCATGAAGCCCTTCACATCTCCCTAGGGCACTAAGTCTGCTTATTCTAACGTTACACAGTTCCGACTCTCATTGCCATCCACGATTCATTTCACAGCTACTCATCGAACCCATGCTCTATCAGATGCTAGGTGGGCTAAGTCGGAACATTCAGCTTCTGAGGGTCTAGACATGCCCCTCCCCACCCGATGTTTCCATATTAGCCCTAAGGCATTCCAGAAATGAACAGTCACTCTGTAACAGACCCTGAGAAAGAGGGGATCCCAGGAAAGTTTTGTGCCCCCATTTCTCTTACCTTTCAGAGCAGAAGGAGCCCTTGAATACAGCTCAGAAACCTGGGAATTGTTTGTGACCTAGTTTTACCACTTTCAGGATGTGTAATGGAGCAAATCCCTTCACACACACACACATACACACACACACACACACACACACACACACGAGAGAGAGGGAGAGAGAGAGAGAGAGAGAGAGAGAGAGAGAGAGAGAAGAAGAAGAAGAAGAAGAAGAAGAAGAAGAAGAAGAAGAAGAAGCCTGCCTCATATAACTCCCTACTTTGCTGTGTCAGCAACTTTGATGGTCCATGATGAGGTGCTGAGACAGTCTGATCAGCTTTAAAGTCCTTAGCACACAGAAATTATTTTGATTTAGTGTTTTGGACTTAAAAAAAAAAACCTTGGGGACCAAGCCTCTAATGCTGTCTAAAAAGAAGCAACATCCAATATTCTGATGCCCGCCGCAGGTGTAAGATCTCTGCTGTGCTGGGCTGTGTTGTGTGGTGTTGGGCTGTGTTGGGCTGTGCTGTGTTGTATGGTGCCGCCTGCTGTGCTGTGCTGTGCTGGGTTGAACTGGGCTGAGCTGGCCTGGGCTCAAGAGAACTCGAAGGGCCTGGGGGATGTCTTAGAAGTTAAGAGCATTTGCAGAGGACCTGGATTCTGTTGTCAGCACTCACATTATGGCTCATAACCTTCTGTAATTCCCACTCCAAAGGATCTGGTGTCACCAGGTGTGTGCATACATACATGCAGGAAACACACACGATTTTTTTTTTTTTTGAGTGAGGAGGAGGCCAGCTGGCTTAGGAACAACAGAAATGGGGTTGGGAGTGGGTGGCGGTTACTACTCTCCAACCCAGAGATCCAAGTAGTGCCTTCCAAATATGACATCTGTCATCTGGTCTCTGAAAAGTTAACCAGGATCTCTCCTGTGCTTTCTCTAGCTTTGAGAGCTTCCTTGGGGTCCTCATTAGGTAAGGCGATCGTCAGGGCTTTGGAGTATTCCAACGAAGAGATCCCTCCGC